GGGGGGCGAGGTGCGACGTCATTCTTCCGAGTAGCGCGGCGGAGCGGAGTGCAATAGCTGCTCGGTGTTACGTTTGCACGGGTCGCGTTTGCGTCTCGCGGTGAGTGATCGCAATCGGATTCGCATCAAGCTCCGATCCCGGTCGCGCCCCGCCCAGCACCCCGGTCCGAGGCAGCTCACCTTGCCGTCTCGTCTATGACATGACCTCCGAATCTTACGTGAACAGCTGATTGGAAGCGCCGTGCAACCGGGCACAGGGCTCTGTCGCCGCTTCCCACAAGTGTTGATGCGTGCAACGTATCATAGCGCGCGAACTAGGTGACTCAGCAAAGTAGGAGGTTGCGGATTAGATCCGAAATGTGCACAATCTTTCATTATTTTCGTGTTGTCATCGGTCCCTCTGAGCCTTTCGCGGGTTCGGCATCACGCCAAACGCTAAGCCATAGACGTACCTACGTAAACATAAGCATCGCCGTCTAGCGACCACTGCTTACTCTGTTTCTTTTACGTTTCAGTCTCAGCAGCACAGCCGTGCGTCTGCCCGCATCACCGAATCGCCCGAACTACCCAGATGTCTTATGAATCGTCCCAATCCGCTTGGTGAACATGGTGAACTGAGCAACTTCCGGTAAAACTTGTCGTATATCGTGAGCCACCACTCGACTGTTTGAAAGTTTGATACTTTCCACAGTGAGTCCCAATATTTTCTATATGTTTCTACCGCATCTCTCTGTTGTTATCCACTGCTGATTAAAACGCCGTTAAGATAACCGAGCTCCGATTTGCATTCTTTATTGTGTCATACCCACGACGACCACCAACAGAAACCAGTTTCGCGAGAGCCGCCTCGTGGGTAACTGGCGTTGGGATGACCTGATTTACAACAGCGGCGACCTTGGCCATGGCTGCGGTGCCGCGGGGTGCGGGGCGCGGGGGCTCTGGACCGTATCAGGGGCTCGACAATGTCACGGAGGCCTCCTTCTTCTTGTGCTCACGGGGGCGTCGGCCCCGGCTCTACGCCTGGCTCCGGGGAGCTCGTCGATGCCGTCGGCGTGCTGCTGGGGACGGGCGGGACGGGCTCCGGTGGCCGTCCCAGCAGCAGGCCTAGGTTCCTCCCGCGGACGCGCAGCTCCTGGAGCTCCCGCAGCTCCCGGAGGACGTGTGCCCGGGCGAGCAGGTCGCCGTCAGTGCTGGAAGAGCCGGCCGACGAGGAGTCCCAGGAGGAGTCCGAGTAGCCCAGAGGGGTGTACTGCCGGCAGAGCAGAGTGCGCGGCGTACGATGAGAAACTGCTCACTTTAACATGTTTACGACGGTGGCAGTCCAGCGTTAAGAACCTCGTTGGAGGCGACCAACGCCGATAATTTGACGGCACTTTTGTCCTGTGCTGCCGCTGCTTGGTAGAGGGAAAAGGAAGAGAACGAAAAAGTAGACAAGGTGATGACTGCAACCTTGGTTGCGATTGGGCCACTCTGGCTGCTGTCACGGCACGGACACGGCACGGGCACGTCCGTCAGCTCGTCCGTCAGCTCGTCCGTCAGCGACGGATGTCACGCATCGCGCCCCAGGCAATAACGTAGGCAACCCGCATGAAAACCACCGTCTTCTTGTCATTACGTCGAGTTTCGTTCCACACCCCAGAGAGTGATTGGAGGGAGGGGGGGGGGAGTGGCGAAACCACGCGCTGGTGTTGACGAAAGCATGACTCATCGACCATCGACTGGGCTCCTCTCCGTGTCCTGACCCTAGTCAATGCACACGCGCCCGGATCAGGCTCCCGGGTGCCCTGGGGGGAATCACCTCGCTGTCCAGGGAGGGCACGTCAAGGTCGAAGAGGAGGTCGGGGAGCTGCAGGTCTACGGTGGCGGGCGGCCCCCGCAGCCAGCGCATCCACGTCTCCCCGACGGACACCTTGAGCACCATGTCGACCAGCACGAGCAGGTTGACGAGGGGCTCCACCACCACCGAGGCCAGCACCACCAGCTGCACGAAGTAGTGCATGGAGACCTGCTGAAAAAAAGTAAAATAATAAGAGGGAGGGAGTCAGGGTCAGTTACGTGCTTTTTGATTTCAACTGTCATTAATCCCCACAGGAGTTGAAAGAGATTAATTAAACGGCACAAGGTTCGACGGCGCGGAACAAGCTGCTGCTGGTGCGTGGACCAATAGTGGGGGAAGGCGAAAGGCATGCAAACCATGCGTCTTACGAACTGAACCCCTCGGCGACCAATCGGCATCGGCCTCGAGGAAACTGTCGACCGCTCGCGTGCATTCGATACCTTGTACGGAAACGGCTCGCCGTCGCTACAACTTTTATTAGCTTTCCTAACAGCAGCGGAAGAAAATCATAAGACAACGTAAAAAAACCCACAAAAAACAGCCTTTTCCATAATCATCGTACCACGGACAAAAAATACCTCCCACCGTTGACCGCCAAAATCATTTAACATTATCCCCACTCCCCATTTCTGAGCCCCCAAATTTTTTTCGGCATGCGGCGTGCGGCTAATGAGGAGCGGGTATGCGGGAGCACAGTACCGGCCCGCGGCCCCGCGGCCCCGGCCCCTCACTGGGGCAGCGATCCTCCGCGCGTCTTCAACCCAACACGTCCAAGAAAAGACAAGATTAAGCTCTTCTAGGGATTTCTTTGCTTATACAGAGCCTTCCCTCAATGTTGTTTTAGCTCTCACTCCGGCCATCTAGAGCTAGTACACAATTGTACGCGTTCCGTTCATCAACCCGTCACAGCGTTTTCAGGAAATGTCAGTGGCTTTGGGGTTGTTCAGAAAGTACGCCATTTTTTCCTCAGATTCATTCGGCGAATTGCAAGGGCTGGGCGCCTGCGGGACTCGGGATAGGCCATCCCGCAGCACACGCATGCACTGCAGGCAAGATGTTGCCTATCTACCAGGCGCCATGACAGCTCGTCTAGCCTGGACTTGGGAGACTGGCGTACTTTCTGGATGATCCCTGGAGAGGAGGGGATCAGGTCTCTAGAGGGTTCCTCCTTACCTTGACCGAACTCCTAGGTGGCCCGATGGTCAGGGTGGGGCGTCCCTCTCCCTAACTGACCCTCCCCTAGTGGACGCGGGTCGGAACGAGTGTTGCCACTGAGCTCGTCTCTTTGCGAGGAGAGACGGCATGAAAAGTCAATAGAGCCACGGATTGATAAGAGTATTGTATTGAAATAGGACTTACACTTGGCACCGCTTACTAGCTGGCGTGGTTTCCATGACTGCACCCCAAGACTGTGTTGGCAATCCGAAATGCGTACTTAATTTATGACTAAAATTGTAAAAATTAAAGAAATGCTTCCGCTGGCCTGTCCTGCCTCTCGGGGATGTATAGGATGTATCATGCAGTGTTGTGTAGACTATTTGAAGGATATATACTCAGATTGGCCAAGTTAGGGAGCGTGATTAATTATATTATTTATTAGTGCTAGAACATGTTCCGGTACACTAACATACAGTAAACTATACCGACACATCACAATCGTGGCGGGGCCGTCGCGCGGACACTGCGATGCAAGAGCAGTCCTATAAGGGTAGATCCTGACAGGTGTGTGTGTGGGGGGGGGGGGGCTCTCCCGTGACTGGGCTGGCCGGCAGTCCTAGCCGACGAACTGATTCCTATCTGGCGTTTTGGGAGCCTCTTAGCCTTTGCTGCATTGTGCTGTCAGCACAGCTCTCATTGGTGCGTGCTCCCAACGCGCTAATTCAAATGAGGTGTTTGGCAAGTCGAGACAAGGCGGTTTCTCGGTATTGGCCGCCTTACACTCAAGAGGCTCGGGGAGTGACGGTACCCTGTTGGGAACCCACCCCATAGCAGTAGTGCTTGAGGCATGGAGGACCATCCAATACACCGCCATCCTCACTCCACTCGAAGCTCCCCACGCCCCTCTCTGAACCCACCCTCCAGCCCGGTCCAGGAGGCGGCCCCTCCCCACCAATACTCCCCCCCCCCCTTTCCACGCGCGCACCTGTAGAGCGCCAGTGACTCGGGCCACAAGTCAGGTAGTTGTCAGGCGGACAACACCTCAGCCTCGCTGGTGTTCAGCGACTCCTCACTGCTCCCGAGCTGCCCCGCAGCGTCCGTCAGCGAGCCGGCGGCCGTCACTTCCGTCACTGATCCAGACCGGGCGGACAGTGACAGTGTTCCGGCGCAGTGACAGTGTTCCGTGGCACAGTGACAGTGTTCCATAGCGCAGTGAAAGAGTCCCATGGCACAGTGACAGAGTTCCGTGGTCCACGTGTCGGGTGTGAGGGGATGCTGTACAAGACGAGCACGGTCGTGAGAGTCAACGGGACGTGACTGCAGCGAGGGAAGTCCCACCAACATGTCGGCATATCATACCACAACGGCGCTCGTGAGTATATCAGCATGAGCCTAGCCTCATGATAGCAGCGCACCGCGAGCGATCCGAAACAATCAAACTCCGGCGTTTGTTTCTTTACTCCGCCTTTTCGACCAATTGAGCGCACATCGGTGGGTGGAATGCGGTGACGGTCCGACATGGCGTCCCATGGTATCACTGTCGCTATCGCCCTGGCGCGCGAGCGGGATACCGCCGGGACCAAAACACACGCGCGACAACGCGTCCGGACGAGCTCGAGCACGAGCTCCAGAGGGCGGGGGCGGGAGGGCTCACGATCACGGGCAACACAATAGATGAGCGCCCCCGGCCTGGCGCTCTCCACGCGTGCACATTTATACCAGTCCAGACTGACTGTGCCTAGTGCCATGTGGGGGGGGGGGGGGGGGGGGGGGGGGGTAGGTACATGACGTACTATGACCAGTGACAGGGTAGGGCCCCGATAATTCATTTTTTGTTTGCCCATTCGCTCTTCCAGGCATATAGGCATCCAGGCATCCGCAACACTCCCGGCGCCTGCAGTATACAACCAGAACGTATGGGAGTTGGCGAACGCGTCACCCAGTGAGCAGATGGCGTGTCGTGACATAGAGTTGTGGAAGGGCCTGCCATGTAGTGAGTAAAGCCTGGGCCGCCGTTGCATGGCGTGCCGCGAATTGTCTGTTCTGGCGGCGCGCGCCGGGCGGCCCTGTGCGGATCGCGAGCACGGGCGGGTGGCCGAGCGGGT